ACCCCTAAACCCCTAAACCCCGAGGTGCATCTACCTCCTCCGGCGGACGGAAGCGGCCGCAGCGGCTTCCTCCCAGGCCGTGGCGTCCACGGAGGCGGCGCTGGCGGAGCTCCGCAGCACGGGCGCGCGAGCTCCTCTGAGCTTCCGCTTCGAAGGGTCTTGTGGCGCATTCGCCTGGGAGGACGGGTGTTCGGGCCTAGGGGTTTAGGGTTTTTCGGGTTAAGGGTTTAGGGGTTTAGGGTTTAGGGGTTTAGGGTTTAGGGGTTGAGGGTCTAGGGTGCTGGGGGATTGATGGTTGTCGGGCCCTAGGGGTGTTTTTTTTGTTTTTGCCTTTGTGTGTGTAGGGTTGGGGTTTTAGGCTCAGGATGAGGAGATAAGGAGGGTTTTGGCGCAAACCCTGCACCCGAAACCCTAAACCCTAAACCGGAAAGCAGGAAAATCTACAAAGGCAGCCGCAAGGTTCTGACAAAGCGGGTCTAGGGATTTCGGGTGTAGGGTATCCATGATAGCATGGGGAAACGTTGAACCCTCAACCCTACACCTCAAACTCCAAAAGCCCAAAACCCTAAGCCTAAACACTAAATAAACCTAACTCCCATAGCTTTAGATTCCAATGGTCCCAAATTCCAACAAGCCCCCTAAACCCTAAACCCTAAACCCCTAAACCGCCCGCAAAGAGCGCCACACCCGGAGGACGGCTCGCCCTGGCACGAGCAATGGGCGAGAGATCGACCTGCTCTGGTGGCCTTTGGGCAGAAGGAGGGCCAGCTAAGAAGCCAGGGCGAAAAAGGTGCGAACGTGGGAGTGTTAGGATTCGGATCGGCGGATAAGGGTTATGTAAGGGGTTAGGAAATCAGGAGCATGGGTTTCTATATGGAGATGTTGAGATTTGAAATGAGGTCAATTCTAGATGCGCCATATTTTGGTTACTTCTTTGAATCCCCTATTCCTGCCAAGCTACAGGTGTCTCAGGCTCCATTCCTTTCCGAGCCGTGACAAGACGCAAAGACCGCCAACAAAAACAACTGATGCCGCAAGCCTTAGACTCCCAATGCCCTGAACCCCAGCACCCGAAACCGGTTCCCTCCAAACCCCAACCCCCCAACCCTAAACTCTTAACCATGACTCCAAGCCCTAAACTCTAAACCCTGACTCCAAACCCCCCAAACCCTCAAACCCTAAAGCCCTAAAGCTCTAGGCCCAAAAGCCCCAAAAGCCCCAAGAACCTCGCCCCCAATCCCTTTTAGGGATTAGGGTTGAGGGTTTGTAGGGTTTAGGGTCCCTGAACCCACGAGCCCTAAACCCCTCAACCCTAAACCCTAAACCCTAAATCCTCTTTTTACTGGATGGGGTTAATGCCCTGTCTAGCCCACCTTCCCTATGGGGATCTCTGAGACGCAAACTCTGCAGATTGGAAAACAGGTGCTCAAAAAAAATCCTCCAATCCTGAACCCTAAAACAGTAAGAGCACATCTCCGGCTCAAAGTTGCGGCCGGAGCTTCGTCAGTTCCAGGACAGCGGGGCCGGGAGGGCAGAGTGCTGAAGAGCTGGGGTTCAAGAAGGCGTTTAGGGTTTAGGGTTTAGGGTTTAGGGTTGAGGTATTTGAGAGCTCTGCAGGATTTAGAGAATGGGGTTTGAGATGTGAACGTTTTTCAGAAAAGTTTTATAGACTTTTGTCAGGCGAGCCACTTGCTGGTATAATCATGCGACATATAGGTTGATGTTGAGGGTTTTCATCATGATGCTAGGCTTCATTGCTGAAGTAAGGCTCCGATTGTTGGGTTCAGAATTTCGGCCTCCGATAGTTCAGTTCAGGTTTAGGGTTTAGTATTTCAGTTCAGGTTTAGGGTTTAGCATCTTTTTTCAAGGTTTTATGGTTCCGGTTTTAGGTTTCCGCCTTTCGGATTTGGGGCATTCGGGGTGGAAGGTTCTCTTCAAGCTGGCTTCAGAAACTTAGGGTTTATGGCTTAGGTTCAGGGTTTGGATCGGCTTGGGGTTTGGCTTTTTGATAGGTTCCTCAAGGGGAATAGCGCGGGAACACAAGGCTAGCCGTGAGATCTTGATGTCGATTCTTGGGGGATTTTGGCACTAAGCTAGAGTTCGGGGTTCATGATGGTAGATGAGGATGGCAGTGAACTCCCGCCGTCGTGCTCGGTAATGTTCATCAACACCCTTACACCCGAAACCCTTACAATGCGGAACCCGAAATCTCAAACCCTGTTCATCCGAATCCTAAAATGAGTCTGCTGTCGTCCGCACGGACTGCCTTCGCGCGATCTCTTCTTGGCTCAACCAGTCACGGCGCTTCTTTTGCCCTCCTGGGCTCTACATATCATCCGCGCCTCGTAGCTGAGGAGCAGTTAGGATCTTCATGTTGTCCAAAGCCGCTTGGCCGTTGGCCCTTTTGCATCCTGGCTGCAAGTCAGAGTCGCCTAGTACTTCTAGTCCTAGAGAAACCCATAGGAAACCTGAAGCCCTATACACCCTAAGTCGTAAACCCCCTAAACCCTAAACCCTAAACCCTACATGAGCCCTAAACCCTTTAACTGAAACCCAGCTCTGTCAAATCAGTCCCTCGAACCTTCGAGAACAGCCGAGGTTCTCGGTGTAAGGTTCCGGGTCCCTAAAGCCGGTTTGGAGTGCGGAAACGGTTTAGGAATTAGGGGTTTGGGTTTAGGGTTTAGGGTTTAGGGTATAAACACTAAGCCCGAAACCCTCCAAACCCCGACCTGAAATCCCCCAAAAAACCGCCGACACTGGACAAAAACACGCCCTGCACCGTTCAACTTACAGCCCAGACGAACGTATCCACAAACCCTAAGCCCTAAACCCAAAGACCCCTTGTTGGCAGCGAAAGCCCCGAACTTCAACCTCTTCGTGAAGCCCTGAAGTCTTAAAGGTTTAGTCTCTAGGGTTTAGGGCTTAGGGTTTAGGGTCGTAAAGTGGTCTTCAGGGCTCTTTAGGGGTCTGGGGTTAAGGGCTTTTTAGGGCTCTTTAGGGGTCTGGGGTGTAGGGCTTTAGGGTTTTTTTCTTGCTTTAGGGCTTAGGGCTTTTTCAGGCTTGAAGGGGCCTAGAAGCTTTCTATAAGGGTTCTATAAAGACTGTCTATTGGTTCGGGCTGTCTATGGTTTCTTCCAGGGTCCGATAAGGTACCTGTATGGGCTCTAGAAGGGTTCGAGAGGGGTTCTGCAGTCTTGAAAGCCCAAAGTTACTAGCTTCAACTCTCCTTTTGCAAAGGAAACTTGTTCTTCAAAAAGAGCACGATAATTCCCACACCTTACACCCTTAATCCCAGAGCTGCAGCAACCGCAGTTGGATAACAGAGCCTTGAATCAGCCTCCAGTCCCTACTGTTCTAACCTCCAAACAGACATCAGTGAAGCCCGGAGATATGTACTTGCACATGTTTATATATGTGTCCTATATATATACACCTGTATAATATGGAACTGTATAGACATGCACGGTCATATATTTGATAAACGTGTCGCGGTGCCGTTCAGGGTTCAGGGTTTGCGTCTGGCGACTGTTGCCACAGCCTATTATAGAGGCCTAAATCTTACCCATACTATTTTGGGAGTCGTTATTATAATTGTAGTAGAATGGGCTCCAAAACCCTATTCTAAGTATTAATTATTAAGGCCCTCCAAGCCCTGAGCCCTACAAGCCTTTCAACCCCCCCCCCCCCCCCCCCCTTAACCACCGTGAAGTTCAACTAAGCCCCCAAAGCCTTAAACACCCTGAATGTCAAAAGCCTACGCTCTACCCCGGTTTCCGGCTCCCCTAAACCCCAAACCCCTAAACCCGAAATCCTACATAACTTGCGATTTTGGAGGCTCCTGGCGGAGGCCTCTGCGAACCCCTCTATGCGTGGCTTCCTTTCGCCAGGCTCCGATCAATGCAATGCAAGGGTTCTTTGCTACATAATTTTTTCAGATTCTACAGAGATGTATACAGTGTAAACGCTTATGGGGGCAGTGAACGGGTTTCGCTTTGGGTTTACAGCATCCGGAATCTACGATTTCTGAGGACTAATCAGGGGTCCCAATAGTACAGTAAGGATTCTTCTTCGTTGGGGTTGATATGTGGTGGGGCCCCCTGAACCTCTTGAACAAACCCTAACCCTAAACCCTAAACCCTCTAAGCCTTAAAGCCATACGGGCCCAGTACATCTCAAGCTCATCAGAAGCGCGTGAGGCACCGGAGAGACCCTCCGGGCACCCTCTGCTACCCTGGAAACGCAGGTCTGTACACCCCTCAATCACGGAACAATCGGATTTCAAACCCTAAGCCCTCCCTAAACCCTAAACCCTGAACCCTAAACCTTAAACCCTAAACCCTTAATCCGGAATCCTAAAGCTGATACGAACACCTTTTCCATCGGCCTCCTTTTTGGACAAGCGGCTGTTTCTGTAAACTTGAACCCCAACGCAGAACCCCAAGGACCACCAAGCCTGTTAAACCCTCACAGAATGCTTCTAAAGCCTTAAAACTTATCAAGTTTTCTTCAAAACCCTAAACCCTAAGTTTGTTTACATCGCCAATTCCTCAAATCCGCGAGCCATCACTTCGGCAGGCTCCGACTTTTCCGCGGTTCCGGCGCAGCCTCCCGGCTGCAGATTCCGAACTTGCGGCTTCTTGTGGACTGTTGGAGTTCAGGGCTTTACTGGACTTTCTAGGGTTTTGCAGGGTACCTATCCGGTTTTCAGAGGGTTTTACTGTGCTTTACACCTAGGGCGTAGGGTTTCACTTCAGGGTTCTTGCGGCTTTGGGGTCGCCCTAGCCTCAGGGATCTTGGGAACCTCTTGGGCTCAGTTTTTGGGAGACATCGAACGACTTTTCAACCCCATCAGGCCGCATAAGATCCTTAAGCAGAAGATCCCTAAGTCCTAAGCCCGAAGCCCTAAACCCTAAACCCCTAAACTCTAAACCCTCAACCGTTTAGGACCTTGCGACACGGCCTGCAAGCTTCTGTGGTTTTCAGGATCATCTAGAGAACTGGCAGGGTCTCGCAGCGCCCTCAGTGAGTTCTGCTACTTGGAGGATCATGGGACTTCGTAAGTAGGATTAGCAGTACCTTGATCAGGGATATACGCAGATCTTACTAGATTAGATATAACTAGATAGAACTGCAGCTGCCTTACTTTCAAAACCCTACTTACTAAGTCCCCTGATCCTCCAAGCAGGCTAGTTGAACGACTTAGCAGTCGAGCTATAAGGAGGGCACCGTGATCCTCCAAGCAGGGTCCAACAGTAGGGATCTGTTTTGGGATGCTTCTGGTTTCACTTCGTCTTACTATGGCACCCGAACTAACCCTAAACCTTAAACCCTGGGCCCTAAACCCTAAACCCTAAATCCCAAACCCTAAACCCTAAACCCTAAACCCTAAATCCCAAGCCCTAAACCCTAAAACCGAAACCCTCAACCCAGAGTTAGGGAAAACGGCCCAGATTTAGGCCCGAACCGGAGCTTTGGCTACCCTGGTGCTCGTCCTCGGTGCCTGGGCGGGGGATGGGCTTAGGGTTCAGGGTTGAGGGTTCAGGTTTTAGGGTTTAGGGTTTAGGGTTCAGGGTTTAGGGTTTAGGGTTTAGGGTTGCGGTTTTCTGTGCTACGTAGGAACCTGATAAAGAAACCCTGGCCCTAGAACCCGGATTCGTAAGGAGAGCCCTGATAAGGGGACGCAAGCTTTCTTACTTTAAACAGGTTCTTACATTAGGCAGCTCAGGTTTGAAGGTTTGGAGCTTCAGGCTTTTTGGACACTTTAGGCTTTGTGAGGTAGGGTCTTGGGATTTCGGGTTCTAGACCCCTGTGAAGAAAGGCTGGTATTGCCATGACAGGACGGTCGTCCTCTTCCTCTCGTTCAAGGGCTTGTAAGATGAAGGTTTTGGCTGAGGACTTGTCAAACCCTAAACCCCAAAACCCCTAACACCTAAACCCTAATCCCTAAAGCCTAAACCCACCTGATACCCTAGGCCCTAAACCCTAAAACTAACCGTAATCAAGCCACTAGCTTTGCGAAGAGACTTAACAGCGGCTGCAGGGAGGCCTCATAGGGTGTCGATTTCAGTTGCGGAGCCCTATACCGTAAACCCTACACCCGCTTCTAGGATGTCTCCAGCTGACGACTGGAAGTTTAACCCTAAACCCTTACCAGAGAAGAAGGGCCGACCAAAGAAGACTTAAGAGTAGGTTTGGGGTTGGGCTTGTGGGGCTTCGAAGTCGGGGGCCCCAGGTTCTTGAAGGGCTTCTGTCGGATTTCAAGGCTGAGGGCTGGCGGATTCAGGGTTGCAAGACTAGGGACGTTAATGGCCCTTTTAGGTTCCTTGTTTATAAGGGTGCCGTACTATCTTGGGGACCTAAAAGCGACCCGAATTTAGATAACTACCCTAACCGTCACGGATTGCATTGTTTAGAGCGTGTGGTCTGGATGTTAGGCATGTTCGTGATAGCAGGAGGCCGCCCGAAAAGCTGTAGTTGATCACGAGGATCACCCCGAAGCTATCAGCACACCCTATTTGATACAGATGTGTTGGTCATCCCAGAACAGCCGAGGATGCAAGATCTGTTAGCCCTGCTTTCAGACCTGTTTACACAGCTCTATAGACGCACAGATGCAAGCCTCCGGACATGGAAGTTTCGCGACTGGTACTGTGCAACCCCCACGACAGAACCTGTAAACATGAGTCCTCCTAGTCAGGCAGTATACCGTAAACCCTAAAGCCTAAACCCCAAACCCTAAACCCTAAACCTGAACCCTAAACCCTAAACCCTAAACCGTGTACCGCCCCTCGTCTCCCGAGGTGTCCAAGCGCGTGCGCGCCGAGTTGGACGCTGCAGTCGATGTGAATCGGCTACCGGAGCTCCTTGGTTGTGCTACTTAGAGCATCATGCGGCTTAGTAAGCAGGGTTATACGTACAGTAAGTTTATACAGTTTTTATGTGTATATATATATATATACAGCCCCTTAATCAAGCTACTTATAAGCTTCATCATGATCTTTCAATCGTGGGGCACATAAACACTCCGGATTTTACCTTTGCGATGTATGGGCATGTGTTGAGACGGTCGTTGTAGGTGCAAGATATTGCCATTGACAATGGCGCCGGTGTTGTTCATTGTCAGCGATGCTACAACCTATTATCGTCGAAGTCGTCGCCGCCCGCAGGTGGGATGAGTGACGCCTGAAGCCGGAAAAAACGGACCGTCCAAATCAACTCTAGGTCACAAACCCTCGCATGAAGTTTTCAGAGAATGGGGGACCCCACTTTAGGTTCTAAAGCGTAAGATCCAGAAAATAACCACCTCTCCATCCCCTAAATGTAAAAACCCTCTCGAAGGTCCTCAAGAAACCCTGAAAAGACCTATGGACACATCGATGACCAGAACATCAGGACCCCTCCTCCAAGATCTCCCGCACGCACACTTAGAGGATCAAGGGGCTTAGCAAGTAGGGTTGTAAGTACCCTAAAGACAGTTGTAAGTACCTGAATAAGGGTTATACGTAGATAAAACTGTAACTTCTAACCCTAGCTACTCCGAACCAGTGCTGAATACGGGAAAGAAGTAGATATAGCTATAGCTACCTGACTTCTAACCCTAGTTACTCTGTCCAATGATCCGATCCCCTAAACCCTAAACCCCTAAACCCTAAACCCTAAACCCTAAACCCTCTAAGGAGCTGTCCCTTCCATCCGAGCAAGGATGTCCGCCTCTGTCCTGCACTGGGAGGATCAGGGCCCCTTTGGTAAGGGTGCGGGTAGTTCTCTAAATTAGGGTTCTTTGTGGGGGTCCTTTTTATAAGGGTG